CTCCAGGGCGCAGAGGAAGACGAAGATTCTCCGTCACACATGCCCTTTATTTGCCAGTGTCACCCCCATCCTTCCAATAAGAAGAGGTCATTTCCCCACTTTACTGCTCCCTAACCTCAGCTCTTTGCCCTTTGGAGAAGGAGGTGTTGGTTGATTGATTTATATTTACTTACAATTGTTTTTTATGAATTCCAAGAGATTTTACATTTGGCTTTTGACACAGATGGTGCTCTTATATAGTCCTAATGAAGATTTAAGATCTTTAAAATCACATTTAAAGAGAATTCCATGCAATTCTTCATGAACAATGTTTTAAAGGGCAGATTAAAGTGATCAATAAAATAGAGATTATAGGAAATTACTGACATGTAGGGCCAGGTTGGACAAAGAAGACAAAGACCAAATGTCCAGCTCAGACCAGGAAGAGGTGTGAGTCCAGCAGGATCGTAGATCAGCCCCTGAATGGGTGGTTCAAAGAGGAGATAGCAAGTTGGAGGGAGCTGGTGGAGAGCTGGGGCCGGCATCCATACAAAGGAAATCAGCTAGTGCAAGGAGGCCCAGACAGGGGCTGGGAAGGTAAAGTCAGAGAATGCAGTTGTCACCAGTAACACATCCCAAGAGCACCAATCTCTTTCCTCTGTCATCCCCTCTCTGGTCGGTGGCAAACTAGGTATAGGTACTCATGATACTAGACAGGGAATCACAGCCCCCTGTCTGTCGCTTCTAATTAACACGCGGGCGGAGGAGTTAGATCTCCAGGTGGATATACAAAACCCCTCTGAAGTTCTGTGAAGCCCCATCTCCTGATGATTATTAAATGCTAGTTCTAAAATTGGAAAACTTACTCCCCAAACCAACAGATGCTTGGGCTATCGTCATTACACCTGTTCTAAACTCATTTGTGATTTTACTGGGAAGTCCTGTCTGTGTGATTTATTAGGGATCACTTCTGGAAGATTACTTGGAAAATCTGACTAGTTATATGAGGTATCTACCCATCCATCTTGATGATTTGTCTTTTTTACCACAACGCAGAAGCCTTTTGAAGGCGCATCTAGTCATCCTTCCACTTCATCAATGTAAGAAGGTTCTAGAAATCCCCCACACTCTTTAAGGTGGCCTTTTTCAGATCCCTTGGTTTCGTGAAAGGTATATTAATGTTTGCCACCCTGTACACAGTGTATCCTCTAATTAGTTACAGGACCTTGGGCAAGCCACTGAGCTCTTTGGGCCTCAGTTTTCTCACCTATAAAATTAATCAATAGACTACATTCTCTCCATGGCTCCTTTAAGTTCTAAGGATATAGAGTTATTTTAGATACTTTGTTAGCTATTTTAACCCAATTAGCTTCACATAGGAGAAACAGGCTGCAAAGAATTAAATTCTTCTCTGGTTTAAACCCATTAGGTCAGAACCAACCACTTTACCTGTTGTTAAGACCTCTTGCTGCAAACAGATCATGAACTTGTCCTCCTTGAAGGTCATCTATTTTTCTGCCCACTCACAGGACTCCAGTCCATCATCACCATCAGCTAAGAATTTTACCTCCTGGAATGTATCTGGGTTCCTTCTTCTCTTTCGACATCATATAAAGTTCTTAAATGGCAGTTATTGCAGTTACTAAATAAAGTCATATTTCCTATCTCTTCATTCAGAAAGCTATCCCGATATTTCTGATGCCTTTGTTCTAAGGAATAACAATTCCAGTTTTCAAAAACTTAAAACTTACCTGACTCTTCACAACTATCCCATTTTTTTAATCAAAGTATAGTTGCCAAAATATAATCGTTTTAGGTGTATAACACAGCAATGAGACATTTATATGCATTACATGTGTAGTTACCATCTGTCACCCTACCAAATTATTATAATATTATTGACTATATTCTCCACGCTGTCGCTTTCATCCCATTATTTATTTATTTTATAACTGGAAGTTTGCAGCTCTTGATCCCCATCACCTACTTTGCTTAATAATCCCATTTTTTATAAAGTAATTTGTTACACAACATTCCTACCCACGTGTAATAGTTTTAACAACTCTTCTCCTAATAAACTCAAGTGTGAAATTTCATAAAATTCTTCCTGAGAGTTACTTTATTTTTATTCATTGTATTCTTTCTTAGCCGAATGCTTATCTCTCTGGGGAAAGAAATCTGGTATCCCAAAGAAGCATGAATCCAACTTACAGAAAGTCATTAAAACTAAGAGCTGAAATGGCCTTCAGTGACCATCTGTCCCAGCCACCCCTGATCTCGTTCCTAGTGACCAAAAGGTACTGTCTCTCAGGGGCTTCCTGGGTTGAGATGCAGAACTTTGATTATGAGCTCCATGTCTCCGTAAGCTCCCCTGAGTTGCTTCTTAGCTCACAATTTCTGATGTACATATATGGGGTCCCACTTGGTGGCTTTTCCGGGTCCCCTCTCCTAAGCACTTTGCTTGCTTCAAAGCTGCCCTTTCCCCAAGACGGCTGCTTTGACTTAATGAATCAGCTGCAGGGTTTGTGATCTGCTGCCAGGTGTTCTGGAAGGCAGCTTTCCGGGGCTTCTGTCAGGCTGTCAAAGTGCCCTCTGGTCTTCCTGCCGGCTGTTTGCTCTGCTCCTTTTTTCTTCCTGATTAATGCCTAGGTCTTATCTGAGTAGCCCTTCTCAAACACAGTAACTGAGTGATTGATGTGTTTTGTTGTGTCTTTTTGGAAGCCTCCTGATCTGCACCAGACTTGAATTAATTGGGGTTTGTTCACTGTAGGCAGAGTTATTCACCCAGCAGGTATGCCGTACATCAAATACTGCTCACCACTTAGAAAAACCACAGCTAAACGTTGCTTGGCAAGACCTGGTGTTTACAGGGTTCCCACTGAGGGTCAGGGACAGCTCAGTAGTGGGGAACTTAGACTCTGGGGTCAGCCAGAGCTGCCTCTGACATGATGCTCTTGACATGGTACTGAAGCTTCCTAAACTTCAATCTCTGAGCCTGTAAAATAAGAAATAATAGGACCTATTTAATAGAAATGTTGAGATTAATTGAAATAATGCATGGAAAATGCTCAGCATCCATCAAGAGTTATTACTAGTGATCCCACTCAGCCCTTGGAGATGGGCAAAGCAGCTCCTCTTACTCCCAGATCGTGGATGAAGGTCATGGGCTCAGACAGGTCACGTGGCTCACTCTAAGCCACACAGCAAGTATACAGGAGCCATAGCAAAACCAGGACCTGGATCCGGGTCCTCTGTCTCCTGGACCCATGTTCTTACCTCTTCCCTGGCAACACCTCTCAGAGTCAAGACCTGTGTCCTCTACAACAGTGGTTCCCAAAGTACAATCCGCAGGCCCACAGCATCAGCACCAGTTCCCATGTCTGGAAACTTCTCAGACATGTCAGGGTTAAGGCTCCAGATTTAATGAATGAGAAATTCTGGGGGTGGGGCCCAGCAATCCAGGTTTTAGCAAGCCTTCTCAAACACACGCTCAAGTTTGAGAACCCCTGTTCTATGGAATAATAGTTTGTCTCCTGATCTAACTCCTGAGACAGGGCGTCCACACATCTTGGTGTGATGGCCAAGATGAATTAACCCTTCCAGCCCTGTGACCTTATCCTTACCAGGGATTTGTGATTGACACCTACTGATACCATTGAACTCTGGCGTGGTTCTCACCCCCAGATGCACACTAGAATCATCTACTGAACTTTTAAAGTGATGCGAGGGTCCAACCCAGACCAATTAGCATTCACTTGGAAAGCCAGCCTGGACTGAGAACGCTGGAACTTCGGAGCTGCCTGGTGCAGACTCCATGGAGCTCTGCGAGGCGGGGAATATGTTTACCTTACTAAGGTCTGTGTGCTTTACTATTCACTTCCTGTAAAGTGGTTTCTCTCCTTCCTGTAGACCATGGAACCTCTGCCAGGTCAGCCCTCCACCTCATACCCACTTATTTGCACAACTGCTAACATTGTCCAGAGGTATTTACTTAGGATATCTCAGCTTTGCTGTCTCTGTCCACACCCAGGGTTGTCCTGCTTGATCTAAAAAGGTAATTACGAAGTGTGATAAACACTAAACATTGACTCTCTCTAGCTCTTATTTTTCTTCTAACTTAGAAGGGTTAAGGGAAAATAGTTACATGAACACGTCGGAGTGTTAAGAATCCTAGTCACCCGGCTCACAACAATACACCAAGTACTGGTAACCTAAGAAAGCACTGTGTCAGCCTTTCTCACCCTCACAGTGGACAGGAGGATCAGACTGGGGCCCAAAGCCACAGTGAGACCTTCTGCTCCAGCCCCTCTGAAATGAAGATCAGCAGCTTCCAAAAAAGGGCCACCCCAACTTGCCCACTTGGCTGAGAAGCTTGGCACTACCCCACTCACCCCCAGGAAGCCTGGTTATGTTGTGTACAGCCCAAAGCAGGGGAAGACCCTAGCCTTCCATAGACATGACCCCACCCTCTAGTAAAAACATGGCCCATGGATTCTACTCATTAACAAATAAGCCTGCTGGGGGAGAAGCAAGAAAAGAATAGGGCAAAAGGCAGGTGCTCCCTCCCCAGCTCTTGCCCAAGAGAACAGACAGGTGGTGGACACTGAACTCTGCAAGGACCAAGAAGAACATTCCTCTTGATATGGGCAGAGTCATGTTTTATGGGGGCCTGAAGCCCCATATAGTTTAGGATGGGGAAGGAGGTTCATTTTAAGAAAAAGAATACAAAATTAGGTATGACAGTACAAAAAAGGCCTTACAGGTGAGGACCTAAGTTGATATTCTATTTACTGTGGAGTAAATTCTCCTTTACCCAGACTATTTTTTAAAACTGTTCTGGACTTTTTTTTTAATTGATCACCTCAACTGAACATTTTTCCCAATGCTAGGTGACTTTCCATCATCCTCATTATCTTCATGGAATGTGTTCTTTGCATTTCAAAAGACTGTAAGTGGAAAATTTACATAAAAGGGGGAATTCATGTGTACAAATAGAAAGACCAACTTTTAATTTATTGACTTTATTTTTTGTTAGGTAGTATATTCATATGGTCCATTGTTCAAAAGATACAAAAGGATATATAATGATAAATCTGAGTAACTTTCACAAGCTTTTAAAATAAAATGCATTTTTTTCTACTAAGAAAGCAATGCTTGCTTAATACAGAATTTTTAAAAACAAAAATACAGAAGGAATCATATTTAACCCAATCACACACAGTCCAAACTTAAGACTTTTCTGAACACCTTCCAAATATGAGTGGAAACTTGACCTTTTGTCTGCTTTTCATCTTTCTAATCCCTAATATCTCTCTAATCTTTATAGAGATGGACATGAAATGAGCTTCCATAAACAAAGATGTAAAGAATTGAAGCAGGGTAGCATTTGTGGGGAAAATTCTGAGCTTTTGAAATTTATGGAGGCCCCGGAATATACCTAGTGATCTGAGTCTAAGCCAAACATGGTAAGTGGCTTTCCATTCAAGTAACAACTCCATTCCTTCAGGGATGACTGTATGGAGGACTGTGAGATGATGTCAGGCTTGCACTGGAAGAATGCTGGGATCCATTAGCCTTGTCTGTCACGGTCACAGGAGGAGGAAGGGTCAGTCTGAGTACCACACACATGTCCTGGTGTTCTAGAGAGGAGCTAAACAGTGAATGGGGATTTGGCTAAAAGAACCATCTAGAGCACTGCTCCAAAAAATGGGAATCAACTGAATGAATGAATGAAACCAAAGAGAAATGTATAACTTTCCAATCTTCATCATGTAGAGAGGCTTAGAAAGGGCAGGTGCCTGAAGGTCCTCCACCCTCTCCTCTCCTCACCCAGTCACAGCTGTCCCTGTTGGCACAGCTCCCCAAGGCAGCCTAAGCCACATGCCCTTTACCTCCTCTGAATGCCCCTTGGGATCCTCTCACTCTGGCTCTTGCCCATCTTCCCACCAAGGCTCCCTGGAGGCAGGGGCCCCATCATGTACTTCTTATCATTACCTTCCTCCAGTGCCTCGCACAGCATTCCTGCACAGGCTGGAAGCTTTCCATACCTGCCAAATGGAATTAAACTCCTTGGGCTCCTCAGGGTGTAGGGCCACACTCCCCAGCCCCTCAGACGGTGGCTGAGTACTTACTCTGCCCAAGTATTCGGAGATGACAAAGATCCAGCTCCTTCCCTCAAGGGAATCAAAGTCTGTGAAGGGAGTAAAACATGTACATAAATCATTACAATTAAATAAAAAATTACAAAACTATAAATATTATAAATTTTAGATCTAATTATAATTAAATTGTTATGCTTATTTAAATTAGAAAGCATAAGAGCAACTAAGCACCAGGTCTGGATGCTAAGCATTTTGATTACATACTGTATTTCATATCATCTCTGCAATGGCCCTATGAGGTTTAATAGTATTGTTCCCATTTTCCAAACAAAGAAACTGAGGCTTAGAGCATTCAAGTCACTCACCAAGCTAGTCAATGGCGAAGCCAAGATTCAAACCCGAGTATGACAACGGTGTCTGACAATGTTGTTAGTAAGGGGAGAAGGGGTCATTTCATTTTGGGTTTGATGAAGAAGGGTGAGTGTTTTTGGTAACTTGGAAACCATCACCCCCACCCTCTGACACTGGCAGAGGGAAGCTTGGACAGCCGGGGAGGGACCGGACCACAGTAAAAAAATGTCCACTGTAGTCCCAACTACTAAGACCCCAGCCTCAACAAGGGCCACGCTGCCCTGGCCGGGGCGCCCGGAGCCTGGGGGTGAGCAGAGCAGAGAAGGCTGCCGGGAGCCGCTGCGGCTGCCGCGTTTCCTGAGCGCGCGCAGCTGGGCTGGGCTGGGCTTTATGAGACCGGAGAGAGGCGGGGAAAACGGATGAGAAATCAGAGATCTGCCGGAGAGTCGGAGATGAGCCACAGGAAATGCTTTCGACTAAAAATATGCCATTTCTGAAAGGAAAACAGTCATTAGAGGGTGTGAGAAGCCCCCGTGGTGAGGAAAGCAAAACAGTAAGACTCACTGGGAAGCCACTGGAACGACAGAGAAGCCCATTACCCACCCACTTCCTGTGCGATTAGCAGGACTTTGGGAGGATGAAAGGCAAGCAGATAAAATGACAACCCACAGGCAGAACTCCAGGGGAACTGTCTGGGTTCAGCATCCGAGGATGCAGCCGGGAGGCAGGAGGAGAAGAAACTGTTCAGGTTAATATCTTTCTCGCGTCAGCTGGTTCAGCTATAGATTTGGGTAAAATTTCCGGTGTGACTACTGTACGCCAGGCGCAGTGGGCTTTGTACACGTCACCTCCTGCAATCCTGTGAACAACACTGAAAAGGAGAAACACGAGTCTTAGAGTCTAGGTGACTTGCCCAAGGTCAAAGAGCTGGTAAGGAACAAAGACAGGGCTTCATCCCAAATTCTCTGACCCCAAATCTCTCATTCCAGTGTACCAAGCTGCCTCCCATAATAAGATTAAGGGTCCTGATCATCCCATCCTATACAGGTCAGAGCCAGTCACTCCAGTTTTCCTGGTGGACAACAGAGGCTTTATGTTCTTTATCTTGTCTTGCATTGAAGCAATCTGGTTATAAGGAAACTTTCTTTGTTATTAATGACCCAGCGTCAGCTAAAGCATATTGCAGCCACACCAGATCCACCTCCTCACTCAGGACGCTGTAGTCTTGGAGTGGGAAGGTGACGCCCAAGCCACTTGATCCAAAGTCCCTCCACATGGGTCACGAAGCAACTTTTCCTTGTCTCCTGGGAGTTCCAGGGATTGGGGCAGGGGGGCCCAGAGCCCTTAGGCGGTGGAGGAGGGCACAGTTCCTTCAGCGGCAACCTGGCCAGTAGGAATCACATGCTCTGTGCCGGGAGTAGTAAAGAGCTCGTGCTTCATATGCATTTCTCATTCCAGCCTTATCCTAGGGAATCTGTTCCCATCTCCTAGATGAGGAAACACAGTTTCTCTTCTACTGAGCCCAGATCGAGCCCTTTTTGACTCTCACTCACATGTTAGGGTTTGGCATTCGGAAACAAAGAGTTTGATCTCTTCCATGAGGACCTGAAGGGTCACTGGGAGGGTGACAGCTTCCTCAGCCCCTCTTGGTCCCCTACACACAGGCTAAACACCCACAGGCCCTCACTCCCCTCTCAACACACACCTTCATCCCTTCACAGACAAAAGTCACTTCCACTCTGGGGCAGACAGAGCTGGCTGGCTAGTGTCCTGGTAACCCCCAAGGAGCAGCTTCTGGGTCCCCATGGGCAAATGGCTTCAGACCAGTGGCTAAAGCACAGGGTCCCCATCCCGGTCTGAACTGCCCTTGCTGAAATGAATGACTTCCCAAATGCCAGCTCTGATGGCCCCTTCTCAGCCTCCTTGGCAAGACCCTCCCAAGTCAGAGCACTGGAAGTCGCCGTGGACCACTGTCTGCCTCACACTGCATCGGGCCAGGCACTGAGTCCAGTGGACCCTTCCTCCCCTGTGCCCAGCACACGCCCCTCTGAAACTCCTTGCCGCTGTCCCCTTCACACCTTACCCCCCTGCCCTGCACTCCTGCTCCAAGTGCTCAGCAGGTTGGCCTCTCCTGTCCATCCTGCACCCTGTAATTCTCACGATCTTTCAAAGAAGCAGGTTTACTCACGTTTCTTCCTTGTTTAAAATCCATCAATAGCTCCTCATGACCTCCAGACAAATGTAACTTGGCCTGGCCTCCGAGACCCTCCATCACCTGCCACCTGCCGATCATCTCCAGTGCCCTGCAGCTTCCTGAGTATGCCCCTGCTTCCCCCTCTGCCCAAGAAACTCCTATTCTTCCTTCAAGACCCAACTCCAGTATCTTCTCTCCATCACACTTTCCCTGATCCTCCTGCCCTCAAATCAGAGATGACTGTCCCCCCGCTGTTTCCCATGACCACACCTTACACTCACCCTCTCAGGCACTCCTGGAAGAACACTGCAACTGCTGGTCCATGCCTCTGTCTCCACCAGCAAACCCCTGAACTGGGAGGGGGTGGCTTCTGTGCTGGGCCATGAGCAATGAATGGATTTACTATAAAGGGAGATGTTGAAGGACCCCATGAGCTAAGTCACAGCATTTGGTCTGCATGAAAGCAGCCTAGAAGAGGGTGCAGCCCTGGGTAGGTGTAACTGTGCAAGACACTGCATTTCAGTAAGTACCATTCTAAGCAATTTCCATGTGCCAGGAACTATGTGAAGCTCTTTGCCTGCATAATATCATTTAAAAGGATTGAGTGAGTTCATTTCTGTAAAGTAATTAGCACAGTGCCCGACACAGGGTGAGCACTGAGCAAATGTTAACAATAAAAGTGACACATCATTTAGGGGACACTTTTTATGCCAGGCAGTATGCCAAGAACGTCTGTGCATGACCTCACTTCTCACAACAACCCTGGGGGAGGCAGGTATTCCTATGTTTTGCCATTTTACAGATGAAGATACTGAGTCTCAGCTGAGCTGTGATCGGCACAGAAGTAATGGACTTGGGCTTCCAGCCCAGATCTGTCTGCTCTGGTGCCCAGTTTCTCTGGATCAACAGTGCTGGGTGGTCCCCCGAATTCGTTTGGGAAGACGCAGGCCATGTTCTTTCAGAGCAGAGCCTAATGCGGTAGCTGGGGGAAATGTGTAGCACTGGGAGACTTCCTTTTCTGTCCCATTTAGTCTAATATCACATTTTACATCCATCCTTCAAGGGACACAATTGACCAGAAGCGACACAATTGACCAGAAGCAGTGCAGACTAGTTCCTCTTGATTTCTTGTATGTGCCAAGTAGTTATGCCTTCCTTCTGGGCTAACATCATAGTGTAAGCTAAGGTCAGCACCCCCTTCATGCAGCTGGTAAACTGAGACCCAAATAGCTGCAGGGATTCACACAGAGCTAAGACACGTGGGTCCATCTGTCAGCCAGTCTGGGCCCCACTTTGCCGGATGGCAGCATGGTGGCATGGAGGGAGCATGGGGTTTGGATCAGAGACCCTGATTCTGCCAGGTGCTGGCTCCGTGACACCTTGGGCAAGCCAATGTGTCTGATCCTCAGTTTCTTTATTCTGAAACCAGGCTGAGACTTCCTCACGGGGCTGTGGTCAGAATCAAGTGAATGAGGTGTGTCCCCATGCTGGGGGCCATAATATTCTCTGCAGTTGCGGCCTGTTAGCAGTTAGCTCCGAGGGAGGTTCGTTTGGCCTTGAACCCTGCAGCCTCTCCATTTCTGCAGGATTGCACGGTGCCCAGGTCTCTTCCTGAACCCCAACAACAACTAGGCTCATCCTGACTCAACCTGCGGCCCTCAAGAGCCTCGGCAGCCTAGCAATGGGCTCGGTGCCACGCCGAGTTCCCGGTCCATCCTCATCTGCCACCTCCTAGTGGGATCTCTGCCCACAAGCTCCTTCACGTTTCCCTTTTAAAAATATTTTTCCCTCCAGCTTAGTCTACAGGCATTGGATGAGAAGCCAGCGGGCTGCCTGGACAGTCTCCTCCAGGGAGGCAAGGAGCTTTGCCATCTCCTACCTTTTTAAACAAGATCTGCCTTGAGTTCCTCTGTCGAGACGTATCTTTGAATGGGGCTGCAGGCTTCTGAGGCCCCATGAGCCCTGTGATAGCCAAGTAAGAAGTAGAAGTGGCAGCAGGAGTGAGCCAGCTGCCCAGGTGAGGGACAGGGCCCCACTTGCCAGAAAAGCCATTTGGTGGCTCATCCACAGCAGGCCGGGCTCCTCGGGACAGGACTGGAAAGGACTGCAGCGAGGGGCTGAGGGTGAGGTCATGGACATTTTATGCAGCAAAGCACCTTTGACGTCTAATTATTGGGGGAAAAAATATTCACCATGTCATCTTAGGACACAAAACCCCACACAGAGGAAAATAGTAGGATTTGAAAATCATGGATAATGCTTCTCCCTATAAGCCTGTAGAGGACATGTCTGCATTCATCCTGGCTGGCCCTGCTGGAAGCTCCCACAGAGCAGAGATGGATGACACAAAAGTTAGAAAATGCCTGCGTTCTCTGCTTCCTTGAGGAATTGTCCTACTGAGCTGGCACTGGATTTCATTTTTAGGATAAAATAGTTCATCTCCAGGGGAGCTATGCCTCAAGAAAGTGATTTTCACCCTGTCACTTACCTGTAACCTATGAGGATTGGCTTGATCCTTGGGGACAATTTGAACCACATGCCAGCCTGCAGGTGTCCAGAGTTCCTCCACGATCTGACTCCCTACCTTTGCAGCCTCATCTCACCTCCCTCTGCTCCAGTCAGAGGGAACTGTTCCCACCCCTTGCACACCTGCCCAGCTCTGGCTTTTAGCTCCTGCCCTCAGAAGGTCCACCTCACCCCCACAGCTCAGCATACCTGTCTGTGTTTGACCCACCCTACAGCCAGCCTTAGTAACTCCCACCATTGCCTACCTTGCCTTCAAGCTAGAAGTCATGACTAAATTCCAAGAATAAACAATAATAATAACTATTACTATAGCCTGCATTTCTTGAACTGAGTGCCAGGTGCTTTACAAGCTCACTTTCATTTACTTCTCCAACAACCATGTAGGCATGACTGTGATTTACCCCCATCTGAGTAAAACAGGACTTAGGGAGATTATGCAAATTACTCAGGGTCCCATAGTTGGTCAAGAGTTGAACTGGGTCTGGTTCTAAGATGATGGCACGTTTTCATGTCACAGACAACTTCCTACCTCTGTTAGAATTACTGTGCACTTGTTTTGTGACCTTTACAGGGTTATAATTCAAGGGCAAAGACTACACATCATTCTTCATGACTCCAAGAACACTGAGCTCCCAAGAGTGAATCAATCAATCAAGGAATGAATGCATGAATGAGTGAAAAAATGGACATCAGACTAGAGAGTTAAGGCGACTGGTATAAGCATTAAAA